CGAGTCCTCTATACTCTCTCTCGCGACACCATGCACAATTTCAGGCCACAGCACAAGTCCATCATGATTGAAAGGAGGACAAGTTACAAAAACTGGCTAACAGACTGCCAGTGCGAAAATGCCTTTTTTGCACAGTCTCTCGCAAATTTTTGTTGTTAACGGCACTGCTTTTAGGCGGACGCTACCAGTTAAAAAAATTGAGACCGATCGCCATGACTGTAATAGAAAACAATCACTTAAAATTTCAGCTTTGTAGTTTTTCTGGTTTCCCAAAAACTTTCACGGGCCCGTACGGGAGAGCTATGCACACCCGAAGGCTAAACTTAAAGTCTTTAGGTTCTAAGTGGACAGGTAACATCTTCTTAAAATTTCAGCTTTCTAGCTTCTCTGGTTCCCGAGTTAGCAACTTATCCGCCAAAACTTTTCACGCCCCTGTACGTGAGAAACACTCGAGCAAGAACGACGGTTTTAGGGACAGGAGCCCGCAAATGCGTGTAGATTATTTTGCCAAAATTTCACCGTTGTAGCTTTTCTGGCTCTCGAAATGAAAAATCGGTACGGCTGCACATACAGAAAGACAGACAGTGTGTCTGTACATTGCATAAATGCAAAAAACGCATAAAAACTGTACTCGCTGCAGTCAAACCACGCTTTGCTCTGATCTTCGGCTAGTGTCCATTTGATTTCATGCTAGTGGAGTCGGCGATATTTGTCCATTTCATTCAAATGTACTTAAATTTTTTGTGCGTAAAGTCTGAAATCTGTGCGTTCCAACCAGTCCCCACTGAATGTGTTCGAGCAATACTGGCAAGTGGAATTTGTCTTTGATGAAATCTCATTACTTCGTTAAAATTTTCTATCATCCAGCTTAATGGCATTTATTATGAAAAGCACGGTGATAATAATGAAATTAACTATCGAATAATTCAAACGGAAACGATTACATGTTGACACAGTGTGTTTTAATGCATCTTACGCAAGCACCACAACATTGCCACTTTTTTACACGCCAGTAAGGGTTTCAAAAAGTATTTATCAACCATGAAACCCAAACTACAACGCATCAAGCTTGTGATCATGCTTTTTTGAGCTAAATTTGGAGATCAGTCACAGCAGGAATGGTTCATGCTCTGTAGTTTAACGCTTGACTCACACTGGCTGTGTTTTGGCCTCTTTCTGCATGCAGGAGGAAACGGCGGAGGCTGGGATGAAGTTTTTGCATTATGTAGCCGCATGGATCTCCAGCGTGCATGATTACCAGTTTTTGCATGAAGCCCGGTCGTTTTTCCGATGAATATTCGTTCATTGAAAAAAATGCAAAATTTGAAGGAACTCCAAAGAAGATTATGGAATCTGCAAATGCACTAGATTTTGAGTTCTGCAATAAAATTGAGTATTTGTCATGTTTCCGTACAGAAAATTTCACCTCCAAACTGAACTGCATTCACACGTGAATATTAGAATAACCTTGGAAAATTTCAGCTCCGCAGCTTGCCTAGTGAGCGAAATATCTACTTCGCTACGAATATCTTTGAATCGCCCTAAGTCGCGACGCAAGTGCAAATCGAAACTCAATTTAGGTATAAAATTTCCTATATGAACAATAAATATTCTGACAAAATTCAAGCTACTGTTCCCCCAGCTAGTTTTCGCGAAAGCACAATGCCAAACTGCAAAACTTGACGTGGCCGTAAGCGCGGTATAAGCGTGCACAAAAAGCTTAATATGAAAACTTCAGCTCATACATGCCAAAGAATATCCCTGCAACCTTTCAGCTTTCTGTCTTGTTTGGTTCACGAAATCGCTTCCCGCCAAAGAAATTTGTATACTTTTTTTCGGGATTCTGTACGCGAGATCTGGACACGTATAAGCGAAGTGACAAATGGGGTGGGAATATGACCCTAAACCTCCCAGCTTTCTTGGTTGCTGAACTGAAAGTGGGTGACAAAGTCCATTCCTTTTCGAACACAAACGCGAACACTCACACACACACATACACGTAGGACCTCTTGACAATATGTGTTTTTGCTCACTGTAGCAGCGCGCTGCACAGGAAAGACGCATAAAAATGTAGCACTTCAGTGTGCAATCGTTCATTTTTGCAATACTGCCTGTCAAGCCGACTGAGATAATTCAGGTAAACGAAAGACTATCGGATTAGTGTCCAAAATATGCATGTTGTTGCAGTAAAAAATCGACACCATTGCACCCAAACGATTACTATGGCGCCATTTTCACACACTAATAACTCCAGGACATACTGGAAAACTACCTAATATCCAAAAATCAGTTGAGTGAACCAGACATATAATTAACGAATTAGAGTAATTACTGGGAATGCTTATCCAAGATAATCGTTTTTCCCTTTTACGTTTCCTCATCTAAGATAAAGCCGGATTAAAAATCATCCCTTCCTTTGCATTATACAGAACTCTCAGATGGCAAGACACTTCGGTATGATCTGAGAGTGGCAGCGCTTGGGGACGAGGCTGTGACGCTCAGCACACACTGGTGAATCTCTGGGTGTCTAAAGCCTTGTCACAGTGCTCCTAAAGGCAGATTCACTGGGCTGGCAATCCGTTCAGGAGATCAAAGGAATGTTCGGATCGTTAAAAGGCTGACCACCAAGCGATGTAATATGGGTCAAAGGAACCACGAATTGAGGAAGAGTAAAAATTACATAGCTATGGTTAATGAGCAAGAGGTGGACAGTAGTTTTTTGAAGTAGTAACACATGATTAAGTACTTTTTGCAGAAGTCAGCTCTCAGATGGAGCCTTACCTCTGCAAGTAAAAATTCAAAAAAACAGTATGTAATAAGTATTGCACATTCGTGTTGTCTGATTTCCAACACTTTTACCTTCTTTTCTCTAAAATTTTCCTCCTTGTTTTGTTCAAAATGATGCCATTTTATGGCATTTTTTTCACGAGTAAACAGGTATTTATTAGAGCAAGCTTATCATGGTATTTGTATCACTCAGGAAAAGAAGAAACATGTGGCGAATCAGGTGCAGCTGAGACTGTACGACTGCATAACACAAATCTGGAGAACCTGAGCAAGGTTCCGGAAGGTTTCCGCACCCCAAGAACTGGAAATTATCTTCTCTCCTAGGTGCTCATCTTTAAACTTAGATTTTAATTAAAACTAAAACTCAACAATAATCTGTGCCATGAATTCAGAACACTGCCAATTCAGTCCACCAGAAAAAGTGAGTCAAAAAATGTTTTGATAGCAGATTTCAAAACTTGATGGGTCTTAATATGAGGTCTCAGGCCCTAATTCACACTAATTTTGCAATGGAAATTTGAGACTGATGGACATGTGTAAGGGGTGAAAAAAAATGAATAACCAGAAAACAGTTTTCAATGCTGCTTCGTTCCTTGCACGAATCCGGGTTAATTTCATGATTTAGAACGGGGAACACTATGAAAGCTAAATGACTGGAAATCAAATTTGAGTTCTCAACCTCTTGCGAAAAGGTGATCGTCACCTCACGACCTAATACACAGGCTGAGACACCTCCAGAATGAAGTAAGCTGCAAATACGAATTCTAGCCACACTTTATGAAATGCGAAGTCTAACAACCATTGAAACAACATAAAACTAAATTCCGTATTTACGCTTGGAAAAAGGCTGCAATGTGTAGAACGAAAATAATGTGGCCAGTTGCTTATAGTACATGTACCAGCATCAGTAAATTGCTGTTAAACTATTCTGTGAAAATCACCCGCTTCATCTAGCGGTAATTTCAAGTCCATACTCACCTGCAACAGGCTAAATCGCGGTCTCAGACTGTGGTGAGGATGCAGAAAAGTTTGGAATTTGTTGGCAACCGCCCCAGATAAAATCTGCAAATTTCAAACAAACAGCTTGTCTCCAAGCAGTCGCACAACACCGTTCTGATTTTGGAACGCATGACTGAATGGGATCATGAAGTTTCAATAAGAACTAAAGGCGCTAGTCAGCCATTATTCCGCACGCTGAATTTCTCATTACAGCATTTGGAACACCTTGCTGACAGTCACAACATTAGCTTGATGAACAGCCTCTCAGGAATACCTAAAAGAACTCACCTTTTACTCTCTTTTATGAAGTTAGCGCTAAAAGACCGTCTTTAAAGCGACTTTCAGGTTGCCGCTCAGCTCAGAAGTACTCTTCCCTCGCCTTCCCAACAATTGGTAACAATAGTTATTGGACAATCGACTGTACTGACAGCCCTGTCTTAACGATTATTTCAGTAAGCAGACAGAGACTAATGATGTTCTTGCTTGTTTAATGCCTCCCGAATTCTATCACTTTTTCTACGTCGCTGGCACTCTCCTCGCAGTATGACAAGAGAAAAACAGGAACTTATTATTGCTCTGAGCGACGTACTCATCTAATAAGTTCCCTTTGTCTGTCTGCAGCAGTCATTTTCCTGGGATATTTCGCACATTCTTGTTGTTCACAACGAATGCAATTCTGTTCACTCTCTCGACTAAGCTGAATCAACCCAACGAAATTAGTGTAACTACCATAGGCAAAAAATGCTACTTCTCTGAATATCACTGCAACAAAGCTGACCGCTAGTACTGTTTACCTTTCTACAGTACTACTTACGATGACAGACCTGCATGTATGTCACTGGATGAATAAAACAAAGTCGATGTTTCATGGCCGTGAAGCGGATGACCGTTAGCTACCATCATATCTGGTACTATTGGACATTCTGCTTCATTCCCAAAGACTGCTGTGAAAATCGATTAGTCTGTTAAACACTAATTGATCTTCGCAGCATTCCCCGTTGTTATGAGAATTGCTGAACGTATCTGTGTCCAGCCTTATTATGACAGTTTGTCGCCGCAGTATCAGCTGAATTCACCTACATACGAGCATTCTCTGGAGCACGTTATTCCCTCACGTCAGTGGCCGTTTCTTCGCCGGAGGTAATACACGCTGATGCACAATATTCATCAGATGCTGACAAAGAAGCACAGCTTCAGGCTGGAAACTGTGGTTTATGCGCTCGATTAACGCCAGACGGATGGTAGCCGCATTCCCATACAAATTCACCGCTTATCGCAAAGGCGGCTTCTGGTAAACCGGGACTGTGTGCAAGATGTTCCAAAGGGATTTAGCGCGTAAAATGAAGCAAACCTACTGGCCAAGACATCGAAGACGTGCTCGGCTGCAGAGAGAATAGCAGTACTGCCTGAAGAAGAATATTCAAGTCCGAAGTCAGATAAAAGAGCCAGCAAATTTCCTAATAGCACAACTACATACGATGTTACAGGAGCACAACAACAATGTTATCCCATTTTTAAGCGTTTTTGCGCACTTATGTAAGTGCAAAAACAAATATTGGCAAGAGGTTGCATGTGTGTGTTCGCATTTTGCCACCCACTTCCAACTCAGCAAACAAAGAAGCTAAGAAGCGGAAACTTATGGAGCATGTTCCCACTCATGTGTAACCCTCCTTAAGGCCTCACATATGGATGCCGCAAAGACAGGAAAAGAAGTTTGGAAACCAGACAAAATTTGAAATTTCAGAGGGATTTTCTGTGTCTTTGTATGAACCGAAGATTTTCATTTAGCTAACGCGAAAGCCTATGTCACACGTACTAACACATCAGTTTTAATAGAAGCACTGTTGACAAGATGCTAACTTAGGAACTAAGCTAATTAGAGCATCCTGACTCTATCAGACACGCTAGGAAGCTGAAATTTTTAGAGGATGTTCTCTACCTATGTGCGACCTAAATATTTCAAATCCATCATGAAAGCACGCCTAGACCTCACACGCGTGCAAGTGAAAATTTAGCTTGAGACACAGTTGGCACAACTAACTCGGTAATCAGTATGAGCAGGAAACAGCTTTTTTTATGTGCAACAAACGTAAAATGAGTCTTTGCTTATGCATGCGCCCCGTTACGGAAATATTAAATTTCCAAACTGTAAAGGTATCGTTATCTAACTCTATCGGCAATCAGACAGGCAAGAATGTTGAAATTTTATTGGAATAGTGTTCGATCCTGTGGAGTGCGAAAAGCAGCTTTCACGCATGCTGACGCCTCGCACAAGGATTTGGCGAATTTCAGGCTGCAAGAACGCATGATCGCATCAGAAATGCTGGTGAATATTACTACTTGGGTTCAGGAATAAAAAAGCGTTAAGCCAAAATGAAGTATGCATGCGTATGTACGTATTTGTGTGTGTGGTGTGTATTTATGTATATGTGTGTATTTACGTATGCATGTATGTGTATTTATAAGTGTGTTTTTGTGCGTGTTTCCATAGAGGTAACTTTTTGTGAAGCCACACACCTGAAATCACCTCTAATCTCCATGTCCTAACCCGTAACCACAAGTCCAAACCCAAAGAAACTCAAATTTTACGACTCAGAAACCAAGAGAGATGTATGTCAAATCCTGTAAGATTATTTTTAGTCCGTAGTAAGCAGAAATCAGTTTTCAGTCTTTATTGTTGCCTAATTTTTGACTTCTTCCACGCACCGATTAATTTCATATCTTGGTGGCTACAAATGTTACAAACTAGAAATTCTCAGACTGTTCTTTTTGCAGTTTCGATCAAAAAATTTTAAATTAGGTTGCAATCGTTAGTGTGTTCTGACTTACGACGACCTCAGGTTCATGTTTAGACTAATTTTATAACTTAATGAACAGTGAACTACAATCTAAGCATTATGAAAGAACCTATGCAGTTACAGAACTAGCTTTTAAGCTCAGCCGTATATTGCGACTTCGCCTCGAATTTATGCAAAATTTTTAGTTAAGCCAGTTACTGGAAATTTCGAAAAACTAACCTAGTAGGCAGCTCGGATCAAAAAGCACGAAATCGGTTAGCAGACCTTGCTTTGTCCTGTCCTACACCTCAAACCCAAATTTAGATTGACTTTATAATTTTCACCTTCTGACCTTGCACCATCCAACCAAAGTGCAACACTTCATATCAATATCAAAAAAGAATAAGAAAAACTCAAGACACCCTATGAAGAATAAGAAAATAACTCAAGACATTTATGACGATAAAACAAAGGGGATATCGCTATTGAGAGTACAGAAAACAAAAATCCGTCGCTCCCTCTCTCCCCCTTGTTATTCCTCTGTCCTCCCTCTCCGTCTTTTTGCTTCTTAATCCTTCCACGCCTAGAGCTTTTGATATGCGCCTTCTCAAGAGAGTTCGCCTCAGCAACAATGTAAAGCAGACGTTTGCGTTGGGGGATCGCAAAGAGTGAGCTTTGATACGAGGGCCACCAGTAAGTGACTTGGACGTCTGGGAACTGCCTGTGAACGTCACCTTTTAACTGCAAAAGCAAAATTCAAATAGCGTTTACACAGCGCTTATTAAAAAATGTGCATCGTCACGCTTCTTCAATTGGCTTCGTCGAGGAACAAGGACAAAAGCAACGATCGGTGGTATTCCAACAGTGTTTTTGCCTCAGCGCATTCCTCACTCCACTTAGGAACAGTCATGGGCATCCAAGCAGTGCTCTCCTCAGCACCTCACCTTACCCCACCCCCACCTTAAAGCAATGATAGGTATCCGAACAGTGCCCTCGTCATGGAAGTGCAACTCGTCCCATCCTGACATGTATCAGTGCATATTTGCAATGAATCTGAGGCTTCATTGACATACATATATAAAGCCAATTTACCAATCAATTGTGCGTGAGGGGATCTCCTGGCATTGCATTCGGCGAACTTTGACCCAGAACACCCCGCAACACTAATGCCCACATACTGGCTTTTTAATGAGATTACTGGTGCCCTGCTTATACTTCGCAACTCGCCTTGGGGCACCCGTGACATCGGCCAAGTTATCGGTTTCCTGAGGACGCAGCTAGCCCAGGGTCATCTCTCCGCTCCTGGCCATTCGTCTTCAGAACCAGGCCACTTCCGAAATGACATGTTGAATCTCTTTGGGACCGGACGCTTTTCTTTCCCGCAGCACAGAATTCACTAACAAGTCAACCGCGTTTGCAGAAGTTCAGTTCCCAGTCCAGGAGTTCTCACACAGCTGACTGTAGAGGGAGAGTGCGACAGAATTCACGACGAAGTGGCAGCAAACGCTGGCCGGCCTGTTGGCTGTCCTAAGAGAACACTCAAGCTGCATGGAGCGCAACTCTGTGGAAACGAGTGGATCCAAAGTCCCTCGGCCCACTCTCCTACCCCCGGAAAATCTCTTTCGCAAAGCGACCACCATAAAGTGTCAAAGCCAATTCGAAAAACAAAAGTAACCTAAGCCTGCTGTTTTCGCATTTTCCGCCAACTGCCCTGAGCAGCGGTGTCTGGCGAAGCTCACTGCGAGGCGATTTCTCGCAGCCCTTATCATCAGCCAGCAAGCAGCAAAATGCAGCTCAGGGCGGCAATCAGCTTCGCATTTTCTGGCGAGTTAAGAAGCACCTCTGACAGATGCCTGGATGTCAGCAGCAAGCACAGCTGCCAATCAGGTGACTGAGAGTACGAGCTGGGCTAACTGGCGAGAGCCAGTTCGTCGCCCAGCAAAAGAAGGATGTCTGGGTGCGCAATGAGCGTTACGGCAAATCTGGATGATCAGCCAGCAAACTGCGCCCGACTTTCCAGAACATGCGGTTTCAGATAAGACGCGAAAAAAAAAAATTTCCGTCTGCTTGGAAAACCAACAAAATATGCAAGGGTTCACTTGAAAAGAAATTTTTGAGAGCTGAACAGTTAAATTAGCAAGTGCAGATTAATAGAGGTCTCGGTGATGATGATGACAATGATACTAATGATGCTGATGATAATCGTGATGCATCTGGTGGCGATGACGGTGGGAGGGCGGTGAATGTGCTAGAATTTGACCCAGGAGGAGGAACCAATCGTGGAGTGCGGGCGAACGGAAGAGGAAGGAAGGGTGGAGTTTGTTGGGCCTCGTCGGTTGTCCTGGAGAAATAATTCGACCTCGTACAGTTGGCCTGGCCGTTCTGCGTCTGGGTGTTGTAATCCTTTGGTGAATTCACACAAGATGCTCAATTTTACAACTGCATCTGAGACAGATGCTTCTCGGATACTCTTGAATGTGAATGTGAGGGATGAGGAGGATGTGAACAACACTTAACGTAATGCAATGATGATATATGTATGCATTTAATATGTTAAAATTATTCAGGTTTTGTTCACTTCAGAAAGCGGATCAACTTCAGGCCTATCAGAAAACTATGTCGCAATGACTGCAAATAACTTTATTTTTCTTTATAACGGGAAGAGATGCAGTAGCATCCTTCTCTTCCACTCACAGGTATCAAAATGGTTTCGCTTTAGAAGAATAAATGTGAGAAACTGAACTAGAGGGCAAAGAAATTAGCCAGATAAGCAGCAAAAAATTCAATCATAACCACACACCTGTCAACACAACTTTGAGTTCTGGTCCCACAGTTGCGTAAGAGCAATGAGCAGAAGGTAACTAATGCACTCTGCAGCCTTTTCACTCAGAAATAAAGATTTGAAAAGTAGCGCACGCTGTTCCTCATTTCAGAACCGTGCTCCCTGTGAAACTTTATGGCTAAAGCTATCTTCACATGATAAACAGACTTTTTAGTGAAAGCGTAGCGGCTGATCAGGTTTGCACAAGATATGTTCGGCATATGAGTAGGGCTCAGTTAAACGCTGAAGTACGCTGAATACCCATCCAACAATCCTCGACTTTTCCTCTGTTGTCCTCTGCCTCACACTGTGTACCCGGATGTAGAATTGTACAGTTTTTATGCTTTTTGCCGTGCAGCGCTAGAGCGCTGCAACAGGCAGCAAAAACGCATATTGCAACGATCCTGTCTGTGTGTGTATGTTTGTGTGTGTGTGTTCGTCTGTCCAGATATTTCAACTCGCCAACCACGCAAGCTTTGAAGCTGGAATTTTACCAGTATGCTCCCCAGCCAAATGCCACCCCAGGGCTGCGGTATCAACTCTCACGCACGTCTGGCCCTCGCGTACGAGCATGTGAAAGTTTTGGCGAGAAAACTGATAACTCGGGAACGAGAAAAGCTAGAAAGCTGAAAACATAGGGGAGTGTTCCATACGCGTGTGTGACAAAAAGATTTCAAATGCAGCTGCCCAGGATTGTTCCGGGACTTACGGACGAACACGTGAAAATCGTGGCGGGAAAATCCATAACGCGGGAATGAGAAAAGCCAGGAAGTTGAAACTTTGTGAGAATGTTCCCTGCTCACGCGCGACCAAAAGTTTTGAAGCTCAGCTCCTTAGGATCGCCCGGGGCTCAAGTACAGGCACGTGAAAATTTTGACGCGAAAATTACTAACCCGAGAACGGGAAAAACTAGGAAGCTGAAACTTTCGAGGAATATTTCCTACGTCTGTACAACCAAAATTAGGTGTTTAGAAGCACCCGGGCCCAAGTATGGGCACGTGGAAATTTTGGCGCGAAAAGTACTTGCCCGGGGACGGGAAAAGCTAGAAAGCTGAAACTTTATGGCAATGTTTTCTATTCATGTACAACAAAATCAGGTGTTTAGAAATGTTCGGGCCCAGATACGAGCGCGTGGAAATTTTGGCGCGAAAATCACTAACCCGGGAACGAAAAAAGCTAGAAAGCTGATAATTTAGGTAATGTTCCCTACTCATGTATGACCAAAAGGCTTCAAATTCAGCTCCTTAAAACCGTTCGGTACTCACGTACGGACACTTGAAAATTTTGAGGGGAAAACTGCTAACTCAGGAACGGGAAAAGCTGAAAGCTTTAATTTTAAGGGAATGTTCCCTATTCATGTGCGACTAAAAGATTTCAAATTAAGTTCTTCTAGTGCGGCCTTTTTCAAGGACCAGCAACTTTCCAC